GCGAAGAAGGGAACAACGGAGTCTTAACACCATCGAGAACTCTCGGTATTAGAGCCACCCAGGCCGTGTCATAAGCCGAGATGCTTATGTCACCGTCGTCCATCGAGCTCAGCATTGACTTTATCCGGTTCACTCTCTCCTCTATCTCTTTAGAAATCAACACCTGACCATATTGAACAATAAAATAATAAGAAACCATTTCAAATTTTGAGTTAGCCCAATCCCATCACATGCAGCAGGGCAAGGAGAAACAATGTCTCGAGATGCCCAAATGAGTGCATGATTGACAAGTAAGCACAACCAAGATAACTCTGACATTGACTAAACTCCATTTTACCATGCATTAACAAAACACGTTGGTTTTTACTGAGTTTTGTAGGTAAACAAATGGAAGGAAAAAGGAAGTACGTGTGCGGTAGTTTCTGATTCTATGTCATCTTCCACAAACTGCTGCCACTTTATAACTGGCACGCCACTTTGAAGCACATCGCTGTACTCTGCAGGTTAGTGTGACATATAAGGATCAACAATTCACACACACAAAAAAAAAAAAAAAAAAAAAAAAAAAAAAATCTTTCTGAAATGGGTTTGTTTACCTTGAGTTGGAGGCTTAGAAATAGCATTGCATTTGATGATTCTGCTACTCCTGATTGATTCAACCTTGAATGAACAGCTACCTACTAAGAGTTTTGCATGTTAAAATGGATTAAAAACGATGACCCATTTGTTGATTCAACATATTCTGTTGTTCTATGGCTGATATGATAGTAAAAACATAGAAAAATCTTAGCTTTTTGAGAACCCATTTGAGTGACAGAAGGAAGGAAAGAAATGCATACCCGGCGGCGGTGGTGGCGGCCGGGAGGAGAGATTGGTGGCATCGGAGGAGGAAGGAAAAGGGGGAGAGAGAGAGAGAGAGAGAGCTTTCATGGAGGAGAGTTTAAGCTTCTTCTTCTTCTTCTTCTTCTTCTTCTTCTTCTTCTTCTTCTGGTTGTTGGTTTTGTATGACTAAATAATGAGATTTTGTGAGTGTTCATTTTTAAAGGAAAAGAGGGGAAAGGAAGAGGACAGAAACGACTTCCCATGAGATTCCCGCTCATAAGCGCTGAGGATCATCCAAAACCATGGAATTGAGGGCACTCCTGTCCTTTTCCCTCTAATTTTATTTTATTTTTATTTTTTTTTCATAAAATCCAATTATGTTACAACAAACCCCCTCTTTTGCGTCTGTTTTTTTCTTTATTTTGCAAATATTCATTGCATTTTTCACAATTTTATTTTCTTTTCTTTCTCATGGCAAGGTTCATGGACTCATACATTCCCAATATTACCCTCTTTATGTTCTTTGCATTTATGTTCCTTTTCCTTTTTCTCTCCATTTCTTCAGTTTATTTCTTAATTTGGTACTTGTTTTAACTTTCGGTTTCAGGTAAAACAATTACGTCCAAGCTGCTAAATAAAGTGTGCGTAACTTGATTTTTACACCCTCGAGATTGCTCTCATTTAGATGTGTCAGATTCCATATTGGTCGTAGATGTGTGAGATTCTATATTTGGTTGTAAAGAGGAATAAAATATACCTTATGAGAGTATGGAATCCTCCTCTAAATTGTGAGGCTGACAGATACATAATGGGTCAAAGCGGACGATAGTAATACATAATGGGTCAAAGTTGACCATATTTGTTTGAGGCTGACAGTGATACATAATGGATAAAAGTGGACAATATTTGTTTGTAAGACAGTGATACATAATGGGTGGACAATATTTGAGGCTGACAGTTTGATTTGAGGCCGACATACATAATGGGTTGGACAATATTTGCGGCTAACAGTGATACATAAGGGTGATACATAAGGGGTCAAAGTGGATAATATTTGTTTGGGATTAGGATACATAAAAGTTAAAGTGGACAAGATTTGTTTGAGGTTGACAGTAATACATAATGGGTCAAAATGGTCAAAATGGACAATATTTGGTTGAGTCAGACAGTAATACATAATGGGTCAAAGTGGACAATATTTATTTGTTTCTACAATAGAGTCCGACAGTGATACATAATGGGTCAAAGTGGATAATACTTGTTTGATTGAGTCTAATCGTGATACATAATGGGTCAAAATGGACAATATTTGTTTGATTGAGTCTAACAGTGATACATAATGGGTCAAAATGGACAATATTTATTAGTTGTGGGCTTGGGTTCTTACAAATGGTATTAGAGCCAAACACGGGGGAACGAAACATTCCTTATAAGGGTGTAGAAAACTCTTCCTAGTAGACGTGTTTTAAAACTGTGAAGCTAACGACGATACATAACGAGCCAAAGCGAACAATATCTGCTATCAACGAGTTTTGATTGTTACATATAATCTCGGTTCATTTTATTCTCATTTCTTCTACCTTCTAACTTAGCTCAGTAGACGAAACACTTACTTTCAACAATTCGTTTCAAGTCAAACTTGCTTAATTTACAAGTTCTTATAGTCAATTAGAATTAATAGTATACTTTTTTTTTTTTTTTGTATAAAAAGTAGCTATATCATGATCACTCTCATCCCGATATAGTTTCGATTCATTTGCATATCTCTCCTTCACTCAAACGTCATTACACGACATGGGTGATCATTGAAAAACTTCGTCTCCGTGTGATTAAGCAATTTTTATCCTGAAAAATTATTTTCATAAAATTTAGCATGACTTTATACATTGCATGTATGTTCCTTTTAGCCTTCACTTCATGAATAAATCAACTTAAACTCAATTCGATATAACCCATCATCATAACACCTTTATTTCAATCAAAATTTAAAAAATCAACTTACTTTTTTCGAACACGACGTTTAAGAAATAGGTATCGGTATCGATTATAATGGCAAAAAAGTGTTGCCCCCATTAGGTGTGATTGAACAATTTATTTCCAAAGAAAAAAAAAATCATAATGTTTTTAAAGGATTTGATTAGTTTTAGAAGTATGAGTTTAAGATTAGAAACTTGACCCACTAAATAATGGAACTCGTTATCTCGATCAGATGTATCGATAATAATTAAGTTGTTTTTACTTCCGAACCGGTTATATGGTTTATGAGTATTTATAAAAAAAAATTAATAATATGGACGTTTATATCAATGTAATTTTGGTGTGTGGTTGACACGGAGTATTATTAAAAAATAAGCTAAAGAATCTATAATATATGAATTAGGTCGGGTGTCTGAGTCATGTGAAGACATGTGAATGGGGTATTCTATACCATTAGTTTTTATAAGATTGAGACAAAATAATAATAATAATAATAATAATAATTTCTGTTTATAAATACATTAATTGAGAAAATTAATATTTCGCCTCTTGTAGCAGTGGGACAACGATTGTGCGACACTTGTTCTAACCCAGTGAGCAAGTCATCTGAGTAAAATTCAGACTTTGCAAACAATATTGGCGTATACTCGAGCCTCAGGTCACTCATTTCTATATACAGAGAGTTTATGATTGAATTTGCTCATTTCACGGTTTAAAACACTAACCTTCTAACAGACTCGAGCGTAATTTAATTTATAATTGAATCATAAATAAATTATTCATTACAAAATCAATGATACTTAAAATATAATATGTAACCATAGAAGTAAAATAAACGGTTGACTCAGCTGAAATTACGAACAACTCATGAAATATCGACAGGCATGAATGAATAATTAATTAATTTTGTACCTTAGCATAATTTATATGTCCATAAAAGTATTATAAATTAATATATAAATAAATATGGTTATATTTGCTTAAATTATTTTTATGGTAACATATATTAATATAATAAATCATTTATTTATTTAATTACTTTATATCAACTTTTTATGTGTACATACACACTATTCTAAAAAAATATTTATAATTGACAATAATCAATAATTTAATTAATATTTACATTTCCAAAAAGGGAGAGAATTAAGTATATAAAATTGATATTGTCTAAGTCAACCCATGAGCATTGACTTTCATCCAACACCTCCTCTCGAACAAAATACGCCCCTTAATCGAGGCTTGACTACTATGTTTTTGAAGAGTCTCGACTTCCTTGTCTTTTGGAGTCCACTCTCCACAATAGTATGATATTGTCCACTTTGAACATAAGTTCTCTGTGTCTTTGCTTTGTACTTCCCAAAAGGCCTCAAGCCAAATAGTATTATTTGATTATAAACTCATGATCATTCCCTAAATGGACAGAGACAACGGCTTTCAATTTTCTATATTTAAAAATTATATTATTAAACTTTTGAATTTTCTTATAATTATTTGTAAATATTTGGAATTTTCGTACCCATCCTAAGCATTCATATATTCTATTTTCGAACATTATTAAATTAAACATTTTATTCTCAGTCATTATACACAAAATTAATTATAAATTTTTTTATATGGTAATGATGCTTTTTTCCAATCTGTCATTTTAGACGTATTCTTTTTTAAGATTGGAGGTTTAAACTCTCATCTCGATATTCATTGTACTAAAAAAAAATTAATTTTTATTTTTTTTAATTCATTCTATCCTAATTGTATGAATTACATTATTTTCAATTAAGTTTCGCTTTTATTAGTTAAGGAATCCTTACTTTGTTATATATATATATATAATATGTAAATTACTATTATTTATTTAATTATTTATCTTAAATTTCTAAATACTTCATTTTTTTCACCATTAAATTTCAAAAAGATTTTATGAAGCTAATTTATATTAATATTTAAAAAAAATTAGAAATTGAAGAAGTATTTAATAATCTCATAAACTAGTTAGTGTTTGATTTTAATTTTTTTTAATTTTTAATTTTGTATCCAATAGATCTTTCTTCTCCGATTAATTGTGACTACTAATTTTCTCTCTCGCAAATTAAGACGTTTTTTGGTTACAATCAAAACAATTCCCACATAACTCTTACGTTTCATACAAGCAAGTTTTTTCTTTTTATTTCATTTTCATATTTATTTGGTTAACACATGGTAATCTATTGATGTTTCGGAAAAAAATGTTATTTCCCTCCCTCCACAGAGTAATCTATCGTTTGTTCCAAGTCACAACATACTGAAAACCATGCCTTTTGAGCGCAACCCACGTGGTCTCACAGCTTCAAGAGCTCCTGAAATACAATAGGAATGCATGTTGATTATTATGATTATGGTACAAACATAATAGTGGCTGGCTAATCAAATGGGTTCTTCAGTGATCTTGCAAATACTTAATATCATTGGAATGGAACAGAATAGAATCTTGAAGGCTTTGATAATAGTTCTGATACCAAAAAGGAGTTCATTATGCCTCTCTTTCTGTTTGTCATCAGAGTCAGATTCTGCGCAACCAAATTAGGTTCGGGAGAGGTTGTCACACCTATATAAAGAATGTTTTGTTCTCCTCTCCAATCGATGTGAGATCTCACAATTCACCACTCTTTAGGCCCCAGCATCCTCTCTGACACTCGTTCTCCTCTCCAATCGATGTGAGATTTCACAATCCATCCTCCCTTTCGGGACCCAACATCCTTACTGGCACACCACACGGTATCCACCCTCTTCGGGGCTCACCGTCCTCGTGGGCACACCGCCCGGTGTCTAACACTGATACCATTTATAACAGCCTAAGCCCACCGCTAGCAGATATCGTCCTCTTTGAGTTTGGACTCTTCCTTTCGGGCTTCCCCTCAAGATTTTTAAAACGTGTTTACTAGAGAGAGATTTCTACACCTTATAAAGAATGCTTCGTTCTCCTTCCCAACCGATGTGGGATCTCACACTGCATCCTTAGTTCCTCTCTTGTCTTATGTGTGAAGCTACTTGAATATTAATTGAAAATAAGTGATGTAGGACCAAAAGCTCTTAACTAAGTGAGTTAAGAGAAGCAACAACGAACCTGCACATCACTTGACAAGTCTCTCACATTACCTTCCCAAAGTTTTTTCTCCTGACACGAATGATAAAAACATTTAAGGATTGAGGAGCTTGGTCTTGGGAAGGCAGATCAATAAAACTTTAAATCAGAAGAAAAGCACCGCAAGATTAGGATATCAGATGTATGCTTTGCTGACCTTTTCCAGTTTTTCATACGCTTTCAAAGCATCTCTTCTTATATTTCTCATTGTCACCTATAAACAAACAGATGCAGGATATCATCCAAGAGTTCATGATCATGTTCGCCTCCTATTTATGCTACATATTTTGTAAAGATCTGGTAAATATATATATACGGTAGATTATATTTCGTATATATATATACCTATTAGGCCGTGTTTTCAAAATGTACTTTGTTGATTCTGTTGGTTGGTGTACATACCTGAAATCATCCATAAAATCTTTAACCAATATTCCTCCTTGAGTTCTTTTGTGTTCATGTTGATCGAGTGTGCGCATTGTTGTGCGATCCTAACAAATCAATAGTATCTTAAGCATTAAAGCCGATGAAAAAGTGTGGTACTGGCTTATATCATCCACATTCAAGTGCTAACAATGTGCAACATTTCATTAGTGTCAAACACATATTTACATATTGAAACTAAACCTTTGGAATTTGCATTAAATCTAGAAATCATAATCTCAAACGAAATGTATCCAATAAGCATGGATATAAATACAACATGAACATAGTGACACGTAGTTTTTTACAAATCTAGAACACAAACACGGCACGGACAAGTTAAAAAAATGATACAAAATGGAAATCTAAATTCATTAAGGGTTGGATTTCCTTTATATTTTTGTAATAATAGATATATGTTATGTTTGTATTTGTTACGAATCACGACTCTTCACTATGATATTGTCTAGTATAAGCTCTCGTGACTTACTTTGGGCTTCTCATAAGGGCTCGTATTAATGGAAATGTATTCCTTACTTATAAACTCATGATTATTCACTAAACTAGTCAATGATAAGGGTTCGTACTAATGGAAATGTATTCCTTACTTATAAACTCATGATTATTCACTAAACTAGTCAATGATAAGGGCTCGTACTAATGGAAATGTATTCCTTACTTATAAACTCATGATTATTCACTAAACTAGTCAATGATAAGGGCTCGTACTAATGGAAATGTATTCCTTACTTATAAACTCATGATTATTCACTAAACTAGTCAATGTGAGACTCCCTCCCAACAATCCACCATCATTCCTGAGTGCTACTTTCACAATAATATCAGAAGACTAGAGGAATCGAAGAACTGCATCTTAAGATGAACATGCAAAGGATAATACATAAAAAAACTTCTTTTCTACTTGTATATCCATGAGCATTCCCGACTCTCTCCCAATAATTCTCAACAATTTTTTAGAATATTTGCTAAAACCACAGCACATTTAATGAAATTCGATCAAATATGATATATATATGATAACTATAATTCATAACTAAATATCCTTTAAACATGAAATTAAGACGATAAGTGTTAAATAATGCAAAAAATAGAAATTAAACCCTAGAAGAAGGCCGTTTGGGGGGAGAAGAAATCATCAATAAACAAACGAACAGAAATGTCGAAGCGAGACGAACCTCGGATTGAAAGAAAGGACTTAGGGAGGCGTAGGACGAAGCGGACAGTGGTGGCGGAGGGAGAAAGGCGCCGCCATGGCAGCGTAAACGAACGAATCGGAGATGATAAGGCGGAAGTGGTTAAACGTTGAGTAGCAGATCCCGGCTGGGCCAAATTCAAATCCTCGACAGCTGGTGGATAAGAAATTGATTTAGAAATTTTGGCATCAGCGAAGGGTGTTTGGATGCGACGAATACAGTATTCCGTGACTGGACAGAACAAATACTTATCAAGGTTAGGAGTGAAAAAAGTAAAACGCCTAATTAATGGAGGAATTAAGGGACTCGATAATGATGTTAATAACAAAAAAAAAAAAAAAAAAAAAAAAAAGTCAAAGAAACAGAGAGAGACACGTAAAAAGTACAATAAATTATGCCACGTGTTTGTTTTTTTTTGTAATAATTATTGAACCTATATTAAACTAATGAATAATCTCGGGATATAAATTTAAAAAATTAGATTATTTAAATATGCCGTAGATTATGTAATTCTTTCGAGATATAAATTTAAAAAATTTGATCATTTAAATAATTTGTAGGTCGCGTATTTCTCTCGGGATATTAACTTAAATGTAATGACACGGAATTTCTACTTAATTTAAGGTATACGGTGGAAATACTTTATTTAAACTTTCATAAAACATAACTTCCAGCTTAAAACATAGTCATTGACTTACGTGTTTTGAAAACACCTAACGACACAACTCGAGACTATGGAAAGACTCAATTATTTAGACAATTTTTCAGTCACGTGGTCCTCTGAAAATATAAATTCAAAAGACTCAACCATTTAAACAATTTGTAGGTCACACAGTCCTCTCGAGATATAAATTTAAAAGACTTAATCATTTATACAATCTATAAGTCACATAGTCCTTTCGAGATATAACCTTAAAAGAGTCGATCATTTAAACAATCTTCGGGCCACAGTGCTCTCGAGATATAAATTTAAAAGACTAAATCATCGAAACAGTCTGTAAGTCACTAGTCCTCTCGAGATATAAATTTAAAAAACTAAATTATTTAAACAGTCTGTAAGTGACGTAGTCCTCTCGAGATACAAATTTAAAAAGACTCGATCATTTAAATAATTTGTGGGTCAGATAGTTCTCTCCATATATAAATTTAAACCACCGTTAATAATGCCGTGGTTTGCCATAATTATTAGGACATAAGAATTCTCAACGATTAACTTTTTACCGGAACAAGGTAAATTCCGTCTGAGCTTCGTTTTGACCGCTTCCAGCTTCAATAAGAGAGAGGAATTTCTAGATATTTCTTCTCCCACTCACAATTCTCTCTCAACAGCCACAATTCTCTCTCAACAGCCACAATTCCTCTCTCTCTCTCTCTCTCTCTCTCTCTCCCTAGGCATGGGTTTGGGGAAGAAGATGGGTTGGGCGCTGCTGTGGATCTCCACAATGGGGCTCTTCACACTGTCGGCGGCGGCTACGGTCCACAAAGTCGGCGACTCTACTGGCTGGACCACTCTCGTCCCCTACGATTATGCTAAGTGGGCTTCTTCCAACAAATTCCATGTCGGCGACTCCCTCTGTAAGCTCCTCTCCCTAATTTCTTTACATTCGCTGTGAATTTGAGTTCTGTGGGATGAGCATGGGAGGATGATCATGAATTTATAAGTAAGAAATACATCTTCATTCGTACTAGTCTTTTTAGAAAACCTAAAGTATTTAAAGTAGCTATGAGTCCTGATTCCTAACCTAATACGAGAGTCGTGCCTTTGTTAACTTAGTAATGATCATGAATTTTATAAGTATTTAATTTGAAATTTGAGAATGCTACTGATTTAGAGAATGATCATAAATTTTATAAGTAAGAAATACATCTCGAATAGCTTAATTTGGGAACGCAGTGTTCAACTACCACAACAAGTTCCACAATGTCTTGCAAGTGGACCAAGAGCAGTTTAAGTCCTGCAACTCATCTTCTCCGGCGGCGTCGTACACCTCCGGCGCAGACTCCATCCCTTTGAAGAGGCCTGGAACGTTCTACTTCCTGTGTGGCATCCCGGGGCACTGTCAATTGGGTCAGAAGGTGGAAATCAAGGTCGACCCAGGTTCATCCTCCGCGCTGCTAGCTCCGTCGTCAGCCCCAGGTCAAAGCCCACTCCCCAATGGGCCTGCACCACTGGGCACACCCTCGGCTCTTGCTCCGCCGCCAAGCGCTGCCTCCACTCTCTCTTATTACTCGCTGCTCTGCCTCCCTCTGGCTGCTTATGTCGTTGCCTTCTACTCTCTGTGTGTTTGAATTTCAATGTTTTAGACTCTCCACTACTACTTCTACTCTGAATGTTGGACTCACCTCTAATGTTGTTGTTTCTTGTTTGTAGTATCATATGAGAATGCTATCTTCTTTGCATTTTCTTACCTAATTTGTTTCTTTCTTTGTACGTCGAGTTGGGTCGATCCGATCCTAAAAACGATAGAATCATGCTCGATCCAACCCCAATTTGATAGGACCCAAGGCACCATTTGAGTCCAAACCAAGCCAAACCAATCCAACTTTTCATAGTTGAGTATGAGGTCCAACCTTTGAGCTTAGCTCGTTGGATTGAAGTTTAGGGGTTGACTCTTTTTGTGCGAAAAGCCGCAGAATTACATGAATAGAAAAGGGTCCGAATAGAACAAGCCCATTAAGAGAAGTGCTATTACCTTGTTAAAGCTCAAAGGATCAAAGTTTAGGGGTCGGTTCTTTTTGTGTGAATGGAGTCTCCAAACCGTAGAATTACATGAACAGAAAAGGGTTCGAATAGAACAAACCCGTTAGGAAAAGTGCTATTATTTTGTCACCGAAATAGAAAGTACTCAAAGGCAAGTATGACCCCCTAAGGAAACGAAATGGCTTCGTCTTACTCATGCTCGAGCCTTACTCGTGGCTTAGGAAAGACAAGAATAAAGTCTATTACTAATAGGCTTTTATTAATGAATAAAATTATTTGCATTTTTATAACTCATGGCAATGCACAACAAAAAGAAAATACTTATCTTCACCACTTTATTTATTCTTTTTCTTTTATTTGGATGATTATTCTTCCCAATAAAAAATTATATTATATTTATTGTAATTAAACTCTACCGAATCAAGGACAGATAAAAATTAGAGCCAAGTAAAAATAAGATGGTTAAGAAAAATTTAAAAGACATTATCAACGAGGTCTTTCAAAGATTCAATATAGTAACTTAGCTCTATTTGACCAAGCAATTGGTAGAAGTCTTGGTATGAATCAATAATTCGACCAACTTGAACTACTGAACCAAAATCATAAAAGTTGGGTTCGGTTATATTTACAACCTAACTCAACTGGTTGGGTTGGGTCAATTGTGAACTCTGTACGAGTGACTCGGGTCATTTATCCAACTAGGTTGTTGGGTAATATATAAGCAGCACGCACCGGCACCACCAGGAGCGGAGCCACGCCTCCTCCCACTTTCTTCTTCTTCAGTCTTCACTATTTCATTCCCTTTGCTTCCATCACTCATGCTCCTTCATTTCACCCAACATTGCTAAACGTTCCTTACAATTTCCATCTCCCATGGAGCTCGGCAACGTCACTCTCCAGATCTTCTCCAGTCTCGAACAGAAATGGCTTTCCCAGTGCCAAAACACCAACAAAACTCGGATTCTTACCATCGATGGCGGCGGAACCACCGCCCTTGTAGCCGGCGCCTCTCTTCTCTACTTAGAGGACCAGATCCGCATCAAAACCGCTAATCCTCACGCTCGAATCGCCGATTATTTCGACCTCCTTGCTGGTACTGGTATTGGCGCTATTCTCGCCTCAATGCTCGTCGCCGATGATGGATTCGGCCGCCCGCTTTTCACTGCTAAGGATGCTGTGGATTTCCTTTCCGAGAGGAAATCCGAGATGTTCAAGATGAAGAATGCAGGGGTGTTTTCCCGACGCCGATTGTTCTCTGCTAAATCCATGGATAAAATCCTGAAGGAAGCTTTTCGAAATGGCGATGGAAAGCCATTGACGCTTAAGGACGTGTGTAAGCCTCTTCTGATTCCCTGCTTTGATCTAAAGAGCTCTGCTCCATTTGTGTTTTCCAGAGCCGACGCTTCCGAGTCGCCGAGCTTTAACTTCGAGCTTTGGAAGGTCTGCCGCGCAACGTCCGCGACGCCGAATCTCTTCAAACCGTTCAATCTGACCTCCATTGACGGAAAAACCTCATGCTCTGCAATCGACGGTGGTTTGGTAATGAACAATCCGACGGCCGCGGCCGTCACTCACGTACTCCACAATAAACAGGATTTCCCGTTGGTGAATAGCGTGGAGGATCTCCTGGTTTTATCATTGGGCAATGGACCTTCAAGCTTATCGCGCGGAAGAAATCTCAGCCGAAACGGGGAGTGTTCGCCTTCTTGGATTGTCGATATTGCGATGGATGGAGTGTCCGAAACCATAGATCAGATGTTGGGCAATGCATTCTGTTGGAATCGAGGCGACTATGTAAGGATTCAGGTGAATGATTTGAAGAAGAAGGGATTGGTAGAAGATTTTCTGAAAGAAAAGGGCTCAGAATCGGTTCCGTTTGGCGGGAAGCGTTTGTTGATGGAGACAAACGAAGAAAGAATCGAGGGGTTTGCGCAGCGCCTGGCTGCTGCATCAAGCAACGGCAGCCTGCCGCCCAGTCCCTGCAAGAATTTCAACATCACTCCCTTTGCCTCGCCACCGCCTCTTAATTAACCATTCTAGCATAGTTTGATTACATGTTTGTTGTGTAAATATTATGTTTGTGTTTGCTTCATAGATCGAATAATTTGTTTACAAGATATTGTTTGACATCTTGTTTTCTCGGATTTAGAAGTGAAAACGAAAGAGGAAGCAAAATAAAATGTGAGCGTTCCTCTTATTGGTATATTTGCTTGCTTGTCTCTAATAGTCGATCGAGTTTCTTTGTCACTCTTCCTTTATTGATTAAGCCGAGTCTCACTCAAGTCTCTTGGACTCGTTCCTATGTTTTTATTACATAAATTTTAGGATTTATGCCACATTCGTGTTGCAAAAATTTGTTGTTGTTTAATCGATCATTTAGTTATATCATTTTGGACAACACTATTATGATGTCATTTCGAGGTTATTATAGAGGAATTGTCCGACACGAAACAAGTGATGAAACATAAGAATTCTCCATAACGAGAGGGATAGTCTCGATACAATACCACCTAGCCGAGTACAATTGGAAAATTTATGATTTATGTGAGATCTCACATCTATTGAGAGAGAAACGAGTGTCAGTGAGAACGCTGGGTCTCAAAGGAGTGGATTGTGAGATCTCACATCGGTTGGAGAGGAGAATGAAACATTCTATTATAAATATGACAATATCGGGATGAAGACAAATTAATATATTCCTTTCTTTCTTGGTAAGCTAAAGTGAGAGTTTGGGTCCACCTTAATTATGGAATTAATTTAAAATATCATCCGTTTTTATTATTTTAATTTTTTTTTAATTATTTTTGCCTTTATTCCTTTTTTAGTTTTCTTTTTTTTTTTATTAAATAAAAAAGAAAAGATATTACTTTTTGGAGGGAAATTAAATAAAATAATATGATTTAAAAGTGAATATTTTAAAGTGAAAGCATTGATTATATTATAAGCGAGTTGCAAGAAAATTATTGAAATGATTTCTCTAGAAACATTAATCATATAAGCCATTTAGTAATTTTAGGTGATTTTTTTTAATTTCTTAATTTATAAAATTAAGAAAAAAAGTTTAAAAATTAGATTAAATTAAAAACATTTTTTGTAAGACACTAATTTATAAATTTATGGTAAAATACACAAAATATTATTTATAATTAATAAAATATAAATTTATTGAGAATTTAAAGTCATAAAAAAACATTTTTAAAAAAACCAACTAAACAAAATTAGTCGCATTTAATTGACCAATAAGGCATTTTTCTACTATAATATGAGAAAACGTCAAAACTCGCTATTTACTCCTCTTTTGACTCGAACCCACGAGAAATTGTTAAGTGAAGCTACCATAATATGTCTAGTAGCACAGAATGGACGAGTGAAAGGTGCGATACCGAACTCGGGGTGTGGACAAATTTTTTTTTTTTTTTGACAACTATGACTTCCACTTTTTCATTATTAGTGGAACCCTAATTTGGTTATAAGAAATGGATACTTAAGTAGTGGGATTAAATTAAATAATTTGATTATAATTATGTCATCTCAATCATATTATATAATTTATATAATATAGTGTGGGCATGCAATTAGTTATGGAGTCCCTTCAATGTTTTTTTTTTAATATTTTTTTTAATGAAGAATAAATGTAAATGCGATATAACTATGATTTTAATTAATAGATAAATAATATATAATTAATGTAAAAGGGATAGGGCATTGGATATTATGCCATGGTCCTACAATCATTTAGTGGCTGCCTGGTGTGGGCCCGTCGCCAGTGTCCATGCACTCTTGTGATACTCTTACCGACACCCAATCATGTATATGTATCTCCCCAACATACTTTGATCAAGACTACTTGAATGACTTTAGTATGCAAATCTAAACATAAAGGATGCAAAAGAACACGTTCATGGCTTAAAAAGCATAATATACAACTTTCATTTTAATATCCAAAATCTGCATACCAATAGAAACTTTGAAGAACACGCACCTGACTCGAAATATCTCATACCAATAGAGATAGTTAACATTACTTAATGCTTACGATCTTCCTATTTTTTAGCCAATGTAAAACTCGAGTGCAATCAGACACTAAAAATGTTCATAAAAGTATATGTTCGTGTTTAAATTAGGTATGGTATAGCATATGAGTTAGGTAGAAAATGATATCGTGGGATTGTTCTTTTAGCAATTCCAATGCCAATTATCTTCTTTAATTTCACTTTCAAGAAAGATTAATTACTGTATATTTGACCCATCTTTCTCACAAATATTTAAATAGTCACATGTCTATAACTTTTTCAAATCATAATTTAGGTTAAAAGAACGAGTCCAAATCAAACAGAAAGCTGATGTAAATTTAATATTTTTGGTATGAGATCCATTAAAGTAGCAATATGTTCCTGAGTAGCGGATAAACCAAAGCCAATAGCAGTATATGACATGTAAATGAAGTCCACTTTCGTGGAAAAGTGTGAGATCACACATCAGTTGGAGAGGGAAACAAAACATTTAGTGTAGAAACCTCACCCAAACAGATGTGTTTTAAAACCGTGAGGCTAGAACGACATACATAATGGGCCAGGATACATATCTTACATTAGGCTAAATGGGCCTAAATGGGCCAGGATGGCTATTAGGATATGGCCCAAAAAAGGAAATAATTAAAAGAAAAAAGAAAGAAAAAAGAAAAATAAAAAAACTCTATACCTTATCTGGAGCTATTTATTAATTATTATTTTTAAAAAAAAATTAAAATATCTCCGATTCTGGAACGACTCATCGTCTCGCTGGGCGAGTGCGGCAGTTTACTGTAGCGCGGCAATGAGTCTTCATGTTCAGCTATCAGGGCTCTGCCTGCCCACCACTCGTGCAATCCCGACGCGCCATTTTTACTGCCGGAGCGGACCATCCCCGGCATCTCTTACGCCTTCAGCTTCTGCTTCTTTGCCGCACTCCACAATCCAGGTAAACTGCATTCAAGTCGACTTCGTAGTTTTCATTTCATGTAACGAAGCATTTGGGCGGAAATTTGGACTGCTAGATGTTTGCCGCAGTTTTTTTTTTTTTTTTTTTTTTTTTTGTTAGCTTTTTGTAGAAGTTAATTTTTGTGGTAATTGAATAATGTTGTGAAATTGCAAAATGTTTTAGATTGTTGGTGGTAGAACATCAAATTTCCTTGGAGATTTGGGCACCAAAGGTGCGCCTAACAGCGACGTAGTTGAGAAAGATTGGGTTGATTTTGAAGCTGATTTGTATTACTGGACAAATCCATTGCGTCCCGTTCAGGTATGCCAAAAATTCTGGCAATGAAAATAGTGCAAGAAGTTTCTTGATGAATATGCTAAAGAGTATATCTTTTTTCCCTACATTTTTTGCTGGCAACTCGGCAGTGGTATCCTGGCCATATAGCAAAAACAGAAAAAGAGCTGAAGGATCAACTTAGGTTAATGGATGTTGTGATAGAGGTTCGAGATGCTAGAATACCCATGTCTACAAGTCACCCACAGGTTTTGCATTCAAGTTCTGAATTTGTTCATTCCATTCATTATACTCTTGACTCGCAATTTTTTTGTTTGTTTTTGTTTTATGTGTTATTTTATTGAAATGTTTAGGAGATTTGATGTGAATGTTTTCAGTTCTTAACTTGATTAGTATGCATCCATAACTATTGGTACCCCTGTTATATTGTCATAGAAGTGAAGAAAAGTCCAGAGGTTGTAAGTCTTTTGGCTTAAATACAGACTATTGTACGATAAAGAGAAGACAGAGAAAGGAATATTGATGAAAAATATAAAGCTCTCAGCTCACAGTTCCTGAGGCTTACAAGCAAAATTTATTTGGGAGGAAAATAGAAGAGGGGAATTTAGCAGATTATGGGGTAGAGGGAAAGAGGTGTTTGGCTGGGGTATTTGGTTGGTATTAGATTGGGGTGGACTATGAGATCCCACATTGATTGGTGAGGAGAACAAAACATTCTTTAAAGGTGTGGAAACCTCTGATTACTGGACGCGTTTTAAAAACCTTGAGAGAAAGCCCAAATAGGACAATATTTGCTAGCAGTGGGCTTCGGGTTGTTACAATAATATCAAAGCCAGACACCGGGGGTGGATTGTGAGATCTCACATCGATTAGAGAGAAGAACAAAGCATTCCTTATAAGGTGTGGAAACCTCTCCCTAGTGGACGTGTTTTAAAAACTTTGAGGGGAAGCCCGGAAGGAAAAGCTCAAAGAGGACAATATGTGCTAGCGGTGGACTTAGGCTGTTACATGAGCATTTAAAGCCTGTTTGTTGTGTGGGAGAAAGGAAGAGACCATGGCTGTGGTTTTTGTTGAACAGGAGGTAGAAAGAGAGTGAGGACTTCTTTGGATTGTTATCGGAGTCGTGACTAATGGAGTAGAGCTTCTTGTAGGCAATTGATCACTGTCACAGGAAGAAGTGATGGAGGAAGCCACCATGCCGGTGGAAGACACTGTTTGAAGCTTCTAGAATATTTGAAGCTCTAATACCATGTACAATTAAGAGAAGACAAAATGGTATATTGACGAGAAAGAGAGCTCTCCGCACAGTGTCTGAGACTAACATAATGCATTTAAAGCAATGTACAACAATGTGTCAACTGTTTAGAAGATACAACATAGTAAAATGAAAAAGGGGTAAAAACTATAAGATACACAAATAGCACGATAACATTGGGTATAGTGAAAAATATCAAGATTACAAACAAGCTTAACAACTATTAGAGTTGCTTTAATGTTACACTGATTCATCATTGCATCACTAAAAGATTAACTGACCATGTTTTTTCTTTTATTTACAATTTATTCATCATTTTCATGATTAGATGGATGCATGGGTTGGCAATAGGAGAAGAATATTGGTATTGAACAGAGAAGATATGATATCTTCAGCGGACCGGAATGCTTGGGCAGATTATTTTACGAGACAGGGAATAAAAGTAGTATTTTCAAATGGGAAACTCGGAATGGTATTTAAGCAAACGATATTCTTTCTGAACATACGGAGTTTGACAGTGTAATAGTTGTTAATGTTCTCATGTGGCAACTGTAGGGCGCAATGAAGCTAGGGCGGTTGGCCAAGACATTAGCAGCAGATGTCAATGTCAAACGTAGAGCTAAAGGACTACTTCCTCGCGCGGTTGGTTGCATGAATTCACTAAATTCTAATGCTTAAGCTTGTTTATAAGGTTTTTATATATCTATAATTCTTTCCATGCCAAACCATCTGCAAATCATAAATGATTTTCGTTCTATATTGACATAAACAGACATACAGAAGCACTAAAAGACATTTAAGCTTAAGCCCAAATCATATTATTAGCTTGAAGAGGATATTTTTCTGTGCTAGAGAAATATGTGAAGATGAGGGGCTATATTGGGTTTATCCTTAATAGTAAATCAGAATTATTTTCAGAACATGACCTGAACAACCTTAGTGATGTACAGGTTCGTGCTGGAATAGTTGGATATCCCAATGTTGGAAAATCATCTCTGATCAACCGCTTGCTGAAACGACGAATGTGTCCAGCAGCTCCAAGACCGGGTGTCACCCGAGAATTGAGGTATGGTACCTATTTTTTTTTCAATAGTTTTGATTAAGATGTACAAGCTGGGAACGAGGGAGGAATCAATTGTAAAGCCATTTGTATAAGCTCTTTGATTAACTGTCTCCTTGTTTCCATTCTCTTGTAAAAGGTGGGTTCGTTTTGGCAAAGATCTTGAGTTGCTTGATTCTCCTGGTATTATTCCAATGCGGATTAGCGACCAGACAGCCGCAATAAAGCTTGCTATATGCGATGACATTGGAGAGAAGTCCTACAATGCTGCTGATGTTGCTGCCATACTTGTACAGATTCTGACCAAGCTTCCGTCAGTAGGTACCATGGAAATATTTTGATCTCTTGAACATTCAAATAGTTCAAGTATCTCTCTTGGTCGTACTGAAATATTCCTGCACTGTTACTTGATAGTCAAATCATTTCTAATCACTGGGTTAATTCTTTGCTTGATGGAACACTGCATCATACGTTTTCTTGCGCTTTTCAGGATCACTTTTACCTGCTAAAATGGTCTGTTTCCTATTTGTTGACAATTGACACTAGCTCTTACAAATCTCCAGGTATAGAATTACTTCAAAAGCGATATAAAGTCGATGCAGACGGTCAATGTGGTCACATGTACGTATCGATGCTAATCAATAGCTTTTCATTTCTAGTTTAGTATTATTATTATACGCGTAAAACAAATTGCTGTTGACAGATTTGTTCAAAAGTTAGCACTTCAATTGTTCAACGGGGACAGTCATCAAGCTGCTTTCCGCATCTTATCAGATTTTCGCAAAGGAAAGTTTGGTTGGATTGCTTTGGAGAGGCCTCCTAGATAATGCTGTTGGATGATGCTTTGCTTCAAGGTCAGAATTTCAGCTTCTCACTCATACAATTCATATAAATGATTAAAACCACCTGGCGTAGAATTATTAGAAACTTTCAACTGATGGAAAAAGATTCATGATGTCTATATTGCTTTTCGACTTGCGATGTCGTGGGAAGCACAAAATTGGAGTCCATCATGAATGGCAAGGAGTCTGATTAACTTGTGAAGCAATGTATTATATGTTCTTATATTACTCGTGTAATTAAAACGATCTTTTTGGTTAACTGACATTTGTATCCCTAATGAAATTCATAATACTTTACTTCAAATATCTTTATCAGGCTGGTCCTAAGTTTTTGCACATTGTACATTGTCTTGGCTTTTTATAATTCTGGCAAAAAAATGGATATATTTTCACTAGGAATGAATCAGAACTAGAGTGCTCTTTGTTATCTTCTGTTAATGCAAAGATCAGAAATGGGGCAACAGAAGTGAAAGCTCAATTACTTCACTTCTGAATCTCACGTTATTTGGTTAAGTTGATAGAAGTACAATAAATGAGAATACATGTAGAAGTACTGTAAGATGGACAGTACCGTTGTGCACGATTATTCGAAGAACGGTCAAGCAGCTACTGGAACCTTTAGGGACTCAAGTATCTTATCATCTAACTCAAACTTAATAGCCTTCTTGTCTCTGCCAATCTTCACATACTCTTCAAATCGCTCCTTCAAATCTTCAGGAAGATTTGTGCTACTTTTCCACCCTAAGATCTCCTGAGCTGCTCTTGGCTCCGCATAGAAATGCTGCAAAAAACAATAGGTAAATTCTGAATCTTCTATGTTTACCCCTAAAGCATCAAAGAAGCTATTTCCTTTTACTCACCATATTCCTGAAAGGAAAAGCTTTCTTTGCATCCACCCCAACTGCTTTTGGATCATAATGGACGATGTTAACTGGACGTCCTGCTGCTTGAGCACATAGCTTGGCCATTCCATCAAGAGTCACGGCACGATCGCTCACGCAGTTGAATATGTTAGCATGTGCCTCATCCGGCTTCTCTACAGCCAGTGTCAACATAGAAGACAAGTCCCTGACATGTGAGATGTTTGTCAGCTGCATCCCAGAGCCTGGAATTGGAATGGGTCTGTCCCGGACAATTCCTGCATCGAGAATTTATCAAGTTTATGAGCTCATCAATCAAGGTTAGAAATGTTTATAAATATGTATGCTCTTACTATCAAAGAACCACTCTTCACAATCTTTGTTGTTGCCAGATCCAATCATGTACTGTGGACGAAAAACAGCCCAGCTGCTGAAAACCTCAGCAATATATTGTTCAACACCAACATGACCAGCATCAGCTTTAACAGTATCCTGTCATAGTAATTATGCAGATTTATTAGCCTTCTGTAAGTGTCTGCCTCCTATTCATCTACTATGCTGATAGTATCACTGTAATGTTTACCCCTTCAACATGGGGAGGCTCATCAGTTGGCTTATAAATCCCAGCACTACTGATAAATAGAAACTGCTTCACACCAGAACTCTTTGCCCAATCAATAACAGGCCTGTGTCAAAATATAGGCCAAATGGCAGCTTAGATTGATTTCCAGTATGATTTTAGCGGATTAACGGTTTAAATCTGTAACAGCTCAAGCCTACCGCTGGCAGATATTGTCCTCTTTAGACTTTTCCTTAAGGTTTTTAAAACGCGTTTACTAGGGAGAGGTTTCCACACACTTATAAAGAGTGTTTCATTCTCCTCCCCAACCGATGTGGGATTTCACAATCGACCCCTCTTTAGGGTCCAGTGTCCTTGCTGGCACTCGTTCCTTTCTCCAATTGGTGTGGGACCCCCACCAAATCCACCCCCTTCGGGGCCAGTGTCCTTGCTGGCATACCACCTCGTGTCTACTCCCCTTTGGGGGAACAGCCTCCTCGTTGGCACATCGCCCAGTGTGGCTCTGATACCATTTGTAACAGTCCAAGCTCACTGCTAGCAAATATTGTCCCCTTTAGGCTTTCCCTCAAATTTTTTAAAACGCGTCTGCGAGGGAGAGGTTTTCACACCCTTAGGTGTTTCGTTCTTCCCCTCATCGGACGTGGGATTTGACAAAATCCCTTTACCTTACTGAAATCTCTGTAAAAAAAGGGTAATCTTCATAAACAGATTCTTTGTTTAAAAGCAAGATTATGTTTATTGTTCTTCTTGGGCGTGTTATAGCCATGCATTAAAGGTGGATTGATATCAATAAAACAAGAACCTTATCAAGAACAATCCACCAGAAAGAGTGAGAAGGTAGCAGAATTCACAAACCTCACAGAATCAATGTCCTTGCCATTGTTATCTAATACCACATCAAATGAAGCTCCTGCCACAACCTTCCCAACTTCGGCAGGATCCCCCCATACCGTCTTGCCTCCAGCACTCACAATTTCCTAAAAAAACATCCCAAAACATACACAAAGTTATTAACCACCAGTCATTTCGAGCTCCCTGGGTTGTGAGTATATCATAAATGACTTACTGAGAATCTGTTAAATGGAGGTTTCTTCATCTTGTCGGAACTCTCTTCACCGACAGTCAAAATTGTGACCTCATGGCCGGAACCCAGAAGCTGTTTGGCAAAATAGAAGCCGATTACGGCATGTCCGCCGCTGTTTGTGTTGACAATCAAGACGTTCTTCTTGTCAGCAGAGCTAGCCCTGACACTGAAGGAGCAGACATTGGAGCGTCTGGAAGAGGAGGGAAAAGGGAGAAAGGAATGGGAAATGGCGAAAGAGGATGTGAGAGCAGAAGAGGAAGAGATTGGGGAGAGTGACGAACGCAGAAGACAAGGAGAAAGGGAAGATGGAAGATGAATGGAGGGCTTAGAGGTGAAGAGGGAAGACGAAGAAGAAGCGAGAGCAGCCATGGAATCGAAGAATTTTGAGCTGGACCGTGTGAAGATGAGAATCAGCTCTTTTAGCTATCAGATAGATGATGTATGATAACGGCCAATCATTTTGCCATGGCCATTATACCACTTCGCTAATGTAAACTTGAAAAATTAAATGGTCAAATTGGAAAGGGGATACAGACCAAATTCCGAACTACTTCAACGATATTAACGATATTATCGCTTTTAATCATACTTACCGATACTATGAATGTTCATATGACTCATAATCCAACCAAATCAGACTATTCAACTCAAGAGTTGAATTTTTTTTTCCCCCGATCTGGGCAGAGTTGAATAACTTTTGCTTTGAACGATACTTACCCATATTATGGATATTCATATGACTCGAGAATCCAACCAAATTAGACTATTCAACCAAAATAGTTATTTTTTTTTTAACTATTCAATCAGAATGATAAAAGTTAAAAATTAAGAATATTTGACATTTATAATTGATGTCAGTGATGTGTTTGAATATTTGAAATTTGAGCCTTAAAAATTTAGGATTTTAGTTACGAGTGGGACCATGTATTGAGAATAAGTAACAAAACGCCTCGATAACCCAACTCAAAAATAGAAGATTAGATTGTGAGCTATGTTCAGACTCGAACCATCTTCAATTTGATCTAATTCATCCGTCACACGTTAGTATTATTGTTTGCATAAATGAGTTAATTTAAGTTGAATTAGGCACATTAGTTAAAGAGAGAAGATGGTAAGCTATGAAAAAGTCAAAGAACAACTATTATTAAATTCGTCTTATCCAATTGGTTTCATATTACCAAGTGAGCTGTGCCCACCCGTTTGAGTTTGAATTTACTTCTAAATCTTCATTTCCCTGAAGACTAGCCGTTGCAACCTTCTTCCTCTACCTCATGGAACCGTCTGTGGAGTCTCCATCATCATCTTCACATCCCAACCAGGTTCGTTTACTGGACACCCTTGTCGTGTCGGATTTTCATTTTCTGATGTATTTTCAGCTGATTTCTTAGGGACCGACCAGCTTCATGGGTTCGCCCCCATTGTCCAGCCCTGATTCCGACCAGCGTTTCTGGAGCTCCCTTCTAGGTCGGGTCGACTCGCTCCTTGAGCAACGAAATGCCAAATCTTCAAATCTTGTGAGTGCTTTTCTCTTCGAGTTCTTCGTTTTCGAGCTAAGCGTTTTTCCATGTCAATGGAGCTTGAAAATTCATGGGTTTGTGGGGATAGAACACGAACAAATCGGATAGGGCAAAGAGATTGAAGGAAGATTCTTTGCTTTTGATGAGAGGATTCGACTCTGTTGGCTATACTCTGTCTCAGCTTTCCAACAATTTGGATAACGCCTTGCAGGTAAACGCCACTCTCCACTCTTCCGTTTTTTGTATTCTGTACTGCGAATTGTTGGGAGGGAGTCTCACATGGGCTAATTTAGGGAATGATCGTAAGTTTACAAGTAGGAGATACATCTCCACTTGTACGAGGCCTTTTGGCCGCCCAAAGCAATGCCATGAGAGCCTATGCTCAAAGTGGACAATATGATACTACTGTGGAGAGTCGTGATTCCTAACATGGTATTAGAGCCATGCCCTTAACTTACCATGTCAATAGAATTCTCAAATGTGGAACAAAGAAGTTGTGAGCCTCAAAGGCGTAGTCAAAAGTGACTTGAATATCGAACAAAGGGTGTACTTTGTTCAAGGACTCCAGAGAAGGAGTCGAGCCTCGATTAAGGGGAGAGGCTGTTCGAGGGCTTCATAGGCCTCAGGAGAGGCTCTATAGTGTACTTTGTTCGAGGAGAGGATGGTTGGGAGGAAATCCTGCGTTGAATAATTTAGGGAATGATCATAGGTTTATAAGTAAAGAATACACCTTCATTGGTATGAGGCCTTTTGGGGGAGTCCAAAGTAAAGCCACGGGAGCTTATGCTCAAAGTGGACAATATCACACTATTGTGCAGAGTCGTGATTCCTAGCCCCACAAAACCAAGATTTGATTTCGAGGGCTGATTCCAGGGCGCTAAGGATCTGGTTCAAGCACCAACCTTGACGGAGATCTTCCAAAGCAACCTCAAGAACTCCGAGGTTGAGCATGAGTTGGTGGAGCTCAAGCAAGCAACAAAGAGAAAATATGATGATACTCATTGCTCAGAAGATTCAGAGGTTAATTTAGAGAAAGAAAACCGGCAAAACCCAACAGACAACCTTAAAAAGGCTAAACATGTTGGTTCCTTACCTCTGTCATCTGTATTTGAACAAGTTCTTATGCAATATTAACCTTTTGGCCTGCGTTTCTCCAGCTTGCAGTTGCAATGGCAACAAAAACATCATCTCTAGCAAGAGAATTAAAATCATTAAAATCCAATATATGTTTTATGCAAGAACGATGCGCCATACTTGATGAAGAGAATAGGAGACTTCGAAACGGTGTTTCCACCGGGGTCAAACCGGAAGAAGATGATCTGGTTCGTACTATTCTTATGATGATTATTTGTTCTTCCTTCCCACTTTTGTTTATGTGTAGTCTATGTTGATGAGAGGAAGTCCCGCTTATACCCAAAGTAGACAATATTATACCATTGTGGAGAGTCGTGATTCCAAACATAGTACCAGAGCCATACCCTTAACTTAGCTATGTCAATAGAATCCTCAAATGTCGAACAAAAAAGTTGTGAGCCTTGAAGATGTAACCAAAAGTGACTTAAGTTTCGAACAAGAGGTGTACTTTGTTCGAGGACTCCAAAGAAAGAGTTGAGTCTCGATTAAGGGGAGGCTGATCGAGGGCTCCATAGGCCTCAGGGGAGGCTCTATAGTGTACTTTGTTTGAGGAGAAGATTGTTGGGAGGGAGTCCCACATTGGCTAGTTTAGGGAATGATCATGAGTTTATAAGTAATAAATATATCTCCGTTAGTATGAGGTCCTTTGGGGAAGCCTAAAACAAAGTCACGAGAGCTTATGCTCAAAGTGACAATATTATACCATTATGGAGAGTCGTGATTCCTAACTGTCTATTTGGTGATAAATCAGGTTAGGCTTCAAATGGAGGCACTGCTAGCTGAGAAATCAAGATTAGCAAACGAAAATGCAAACTTAACAAGGGAAAATCAATGCCTTTACCAGCTTGCGGAGTATCACCAGCTCACATCCCAAGATCTTTCGCTATCTTACGACGAAGCCATCGGCATGTGTTTGGACTTCTCGTCACCACCACCTGCCATTGTCGAAGGAGCTGAAGGACAAGGACAAGGACAGGGACGAGCTGAAGGACAGGGACAAGGACAAAGACAGGGACAGGGACAATGTGACTATTGACAAAGAAATTACTCAAACATCTAGAGCTGATCGTTTTAGCGTTTCTACCTCTCTTGATGAACTCCGCCAAGAGTAGAGGTGATTCCGGACCAGAAAACGCAGGCTCGAACATTGGTTGCTTCTCGTTCACAATACTGTAACCCAGTTAACTCAATCTTCACTGCATTTAGTTCAGAAATAAATCTATGGTCATAGCATTTTCTACACTGTCGTATTCGTCTACTATCAAACCAGGTTCCATGCTAGAAGCTTCCAACAAACGCACGATTCATGAGCTGAGTCGATAGCTGATTGTCGTTTGTTGTGTAGCATATGGAACCTGTTTTATACTACTTATACATTTAGGGGCGAACGGCGATAACGTTTGAACAACCTCCGAAACATGTCATAACTGGAAAAACAAGATCAGTCGGTCTTAAAAACATATACATAACAGCTCAACAGAGGACGAGGACGAGCTTTTGTGTTCGAAAGAGAGACCGTTTATACTAATGCAACATTTTCAGCTCTTTTCACTTTGTTTTTGTTATTTTCTTTCTCTTAGCTGCAGAACGCTCGGCGTCACGACCCGTGCCTGGAGACATTGCATCACGAATTGCTCGAGAAGAAGCGTTGACAGCTGATTCAGTAACTTTTGTGAGATTGGAGACTAAGATCACATCCTTCATTTTCTCCAGCACTTCAGAAATATTTCTATTCCCTTTCTCATACTACACAAATCAAACAAAATAACTTCCCATCAAATACTAAAACATCATGTTGATTTGGTTTGGTTTAAGCAACGGACGGGGCACGAATGCTCCCCCCGACACAAAAAGTTCGTAAACCCGTTCGCGGGTCGTTTGATGTCTAGACATCGACAATAATCCTTCCACAGGTTCACCCACAGAAACCTTGTTACGACTTCTCCTTCCTCTAAATGACAAGGTTAACTGGACTTCTCGCGACGTTGCGGGTAGCAAACCACCCACATCGTCACGATCCAAACACTTCACCGGACCATTCAATCGGTAGGACATAGTCAACGCGAGCTGATGACTCACGCTTACTAGAAATCCCTCGTTGAAAACCAACAATTGCAATGATCTATCGTATAAAGCATGCAATCAAACATACGTACTGCTTCGACTTTACAAAGAGCTATTTCCAACTTCCGAGTAAGCTGATGGTTTTCGTCGATTAAGGCTTGAACCTGACATACATTAAGACGGTACTGTTCATAGATATACGAATGAGAATCGAGATTCATTAATACGAAAATAACGAAACTAACCTTTTTCTGGGATTCAAAGTACAAGCCCTTGTATTTGACATCTATTGGTGATGAGCTTTCACTCAACAATGGATTCTCATCATTCTGCTAGACATTGAACAACCAATGAAAAGAAAATCATAGAGCAAAATGAACTTCAAAACATATCATGTCAATTCCTATGCTTTGGCACCTTAGCTTTCAACGCGTTTATGGTTCGTTCTTGAGTTTCGAGTAGTTTAACTACATAATCAATCTTTCCGTGCAAGTCCCGTTCGCCCGAGTTCGGCTCGTCCAAATGCTTTCTCCCCTCAGCTGGTGGTTCATCATCTTTTTGAGTCTCACTAAAAGCTATTTCTTCAATCACAGGTTCGATGCAGTCATTTCCAAATGGAGTAACGGCATTCCGAATCCGTTCGGACCGTCGAGTAACAGAAGGGTATAACTTCTTTGCTCTCTTCTTTGAGGAAGTGCAGGGAAGGTCTGGCAGCTCCATTTGCAAGGAGGAGGGATTTTGTGCCTTTGGATATGAAGTTCTTTGACAAAAATGAGTCGGTTTCCTAGCGAAGTCAGAATCAAACAGGTTATATATATTGTCCTCTTTGAGCTTTCCCTCAAGGTTTTTAAAACGTATTTGCTAGGGAGATGTTTCCACACTCTTGTAAAGGGTGTTTCGTTCTCCCCCGAACCGATGTGGGATCTCACAATCCACCCCCCTTCGAGGGCTAGCGTCCTTGCTCACACTCGTTTCTTTCTCCAATCGATGTGGGACCCCCACCAAATCCACTCCTTCCGAGGTCTAGCGTCATTGCTGACACATTGCCTTGTGTCTACCCCTCTTTGGGGCTCAGCCTCCTCGCAGGCACATCGCCCGGTGTCTGGCTCTGATACCATTTGTAACAGCCTAAGCCCACCACTAGCAGATATTGTTTTCTTTGGGTTTTCTGTTTCAGGCTTTCCCTCCAAGTTTTTAAAACGCGTCTACTAGGGAGACATTTTCCACACCCTTGTAAAGCGTGTTTCATTCTCCACCCAAACCGATATGAGATCTCACAATCTACCCCTTTTCGGGATCTAGCGTCCTCGCTGACACTCGTTCCTTTCTCCAATCGATGTGGGACTCCCACCAAATTCACCCCCTTCGAGACCCAACGTCTTTGCTGACACACTGCCTTGTGTGTCCACCCCCTTCGAGATTCAGACTCCTCGCTGACACATTGCCTAGTGTCTGGCTCTGATACCATTTGTAACAGTCTAAACCCACCACCCGCAGATATTGTCCTTTTTTGGCTTTGCCTTAATGTTTTTCAAAACCTGTCTGCTAGAGAGAGGTTTCCACCCCCTTACAAAGGGTATTCCGTTATCCTCCCCAACCAATGTGGAATCTCACAATCCACCCCCTTCGAGACCCAGCGTCCTTGCTAGCACTCGTTCCTTTCTCCAATCGATATGAGACCGCCACCAAATTCACCCCCTTTGGGGCTCAGCCTCTTGCTAGCACATCGCCCAATGTCTAGCTTTGATACCATTTGTAACAGCCAAAGCCTACCACCACTAGCAGATATTGTCCTCTATAGACTTTCCCTCGAGTCTTTTAAAACACATCTACTAGGGAGAGGTTTCCACACCCTTATAAAGGGTGTTTCGTTCTCCTCCCCAACCGACGTGGGATCTCACAATCTTTTCCCTTGTAAAGCTCGAAACAACGCCATTTCATCACAATAGATCAATAGACTAAAGGTAGCAACTTCACAGAAACTCAACAGTGTACATGCAGCGAGTTAGAACAAGGCAAGAACAAACCTAGCAAAGCAAAAACTCCCCAGAAGACAGACAAAGGTAAGACAACTAAAACCAGTACTAGAACTTCAAAAGGTGAAAAAAAAAATGGAGCACCTCTTAAGCTGTAGAACCAAAAGCAGACCCAGAAGCCGACGAGAGCCTTGAAGAAGCGAGTATGGAGAGAAGAAGATGGCGATGGTCAATAGTAGGTCACGCTTGACGCTGTCTTTTCATCAGACCCTCTCTAACTCATCGTTAAACGAACCAAGAAAATGATGTATTCACTGTCTTTTAGTCGTGTGAAATTGGTACGTGTATACTCACCCTCGATACACGTTTCAGAGAAATATTTTAAAAAACATGACTCAGAAAATACGTTAGTTAACAATTTTAAAGAAAACAATGTTATAGGCTAAAAGCGAATAAAGGGGAGTAAGATTTAGATTAACTTGTTGATCGAATATCTCAAGCCAAGGATATTGTTTGAGATTTGAATCACTCCACAAGCAAGATCGATCATGTCTAGCTTGAATGATTCTTGTTGATCAAATATCTCAAGACAAGAACGCTTGATTGAGATTCGAATCCCTCCACAAACAATATTGATCATGTCGAGCTTAAATGATTCTACCTGTAACCTAAACTATATATAATTGCAAAGAAAGTTAGCCATTGGCTAAAGAAGAGCACAAATGCTACTTTTACTGCATTTTCCAGTCTCTTACAAATACAACATACATGACTTTATATAGCCTCAAGATAAAACTACTAGAGGCATTCCAAGAGTTGTAACATTCCTACTTAATTGTCATAATTAATGTAATTATAACCTAGAATAAATTAAAAGTCTTAAAATACAATTACTCTAAATTGTAATCCACCAAAAATTTAAAGCATGAAACTTCATTCTTCTCCAATGTGGTATGAATTGAAATATCTTTTGATATTTTCAACAATATTTTCTTCACATTTTCGTTGAAACATGTTGTATGATTGGTGTCTCTGGGATCATATCACTCATATAGTGCATTTTTAGACATTTAGCCCTTAGAGGGTAGACATGTTCTTGGTGACCGGTCATATACCCCGTATTAACACAACAATAAATAGTAAATGTCTATCAACATGACAACAAGTAAAAGAGGTTTAGAACGAGCATGTGACTATAGAGAACACCTCATAGACGAATATAACCGCGAGATTTACCTTGAAATACAGGCGTTACTCAACCCAGCATTGAAAGAATGAGTACGGTATGGTGAGTATAAATTGAAACGTTTGAACAAAAAACAAAGCGTTGACAGCACAACCAAAATCAAAGTCAGCCGTATTAATTTCCATCAAAGGAAAGAGAAAATCCCCACAAGGCAATCTGCTCTGTTCAATTGGCGCACAGCTTGCGCCAATTGAAGAGGATAAGATGATCTTGTCCCGAACATCCCCCGTTTAATTTTCAGTCATCGGCGAAAGCGCTACCTAATTCTAATGGATATGAGACTCCTCTCCGTCTGCCGCATTGATTCCCCTCCTCTCTTCTTCAAATCAATTCCTTCCTTCCGAATTCGCCCTCCTGTTCTTAATCCCTCCCGCCGTCGACGCCATCGTTTTCGCATAAATTCCGTTTCGCAGAACCCATTTCAATCCAGCGAATTGATTCCTAAAACCCTAGAAAACCCACAACCTAAAACTCTTTTCCCAAGTGGGTTCAAGCGGCCGGAGATTAAAGTGCCTTGTGTGGTGCTGCAATTGGATGTAGCCGAGGTTTTGGGCGGTGGGGATGCGTTGGATTTGATCGATAGGGCTTTGTCCAAATGGGTTCGGATCGTGGTGCTCAATTCTGGCGAAGGCGGTGGCGGTAAGCTCTACGAAGCTGCCTGTAAATTGAAGTCGGTGGTCGGAGATCGAGCTTATTTGTTGATAGCTGAGCGTGTCGACATTGCCACTGCCGTTAACGCCAGTGGAGTGCTCCTCTCCGATCAAGGTTGTATTTAGACTGTTTCAAAAATACAGAACAAAGTTTGATTACAATGCATAGAATATATGAACTTTATGATTTTAAATTCATTTGAATCAGGTCTTCCTCCTATTGTGGCCAGGAACACCATGCTGGATTCCACATCGGATTCCCTGTATCTACCTCTGGTAGCAAGGAATGTAAAATCCTCAATTTCAGCTGTAAATGCATCAAAATCTGAAGGAGCTGATTTTCTTTTATATGATTTGGATGAAGAGAAGCTTGATATGACAACAACAGATTCTGTGTTCATGAATGTAAAGATACCAATATTTATACTGTTTTCCTCATATGGAAAGAACACAACGTTTCATGAAGCTTTAAAATGGCTGGAATTTGGTGCAAGTGGCTTAGTAATCTCTTTGCAAGCGTTGAGGCTGATTAGCGATGATGCTGTTGGTAAATTATTTGACTCCACATTTACAGACAGTGGAAGAAAGGAGGACGATATCGATACGTCTGGTTCGCTGAACTTGAACATGGCCAATGGTGCTCTTGGAGCAACACAAGTAGCTGGATTTGCTAATTTGGAAGATAGAGAAAAACAAGTCATAGTTACAGAGAAATTAGTATTGCGTGAAGCCATAAATATTATTCAGAAAGCTGCTCCACTGGTGATCATTTACGCCCGGTTTGATATCCATTTCGTTTTTGTTTTCGGTTTTTGAAAATTATGCTTGTTTTCACACAATTTTAAGCCGAATTTCAAAAACAAAATTGAAGTTTTTAAGAACTACTTTTTTAGTTTGGTAGTTGATTTTCAAACTAAATTCCAAGTATCTTCATTTTTGACCGTTGTAGTTATTAGATATGATCTTCATTTCCTCAATCTTTGATGGTTTTTAAATGGCAGATGGCGGAGGTTTCGCTGCTCAATGATTCAGTGTCACAAATTGATGAGCCATTTATGCTGGCTATAGTGGTAATTGTGTGCTGAACTTCAACAAACTCTGGTTGCAGGATATACATTGGTATTGGCCCTAATTTCAAAGAAATTCATTTTCTTTTTCATTTGAAAGAATCTAGAAGTAACCCGGCCTATCCCGTCTTTTGGGTTTGACAACTATTGAAAGAATGAATGACCTTTTCGCCTTTTACACTAAAAAGTTTCTCAATATTACATGATGTTTTGGGCCAAACATGAATCCTCTTTCCCTGCTAATAATTCACACGGACTTGGGTTATCAAGGCTCAAAATAACAAAGACTTCTCATTGAGCAGGCTCAATGCTATCTTGAACAATCAAGAGAACAAGGGCCGTGCTCCTACTTTCACTCTTTTCTTTCTAAAGAAGCCTGCTTTTGATTTGTGTGGGATCTATTAGGAGCGGCATTCTCCCTTGACTCGAGACCATTTTTGAATCATGGAATTCTCTCCCAGAGTTGTGGAACTAACGACTTTATTAGAAAGTAGAATTACCAACCTTTACACGAATTTGAAAGTGGATGAGATCGGTTGAGTGGTCTCAGTTGGAGATGGGATTGCACCGCCTTATTCAATTGTGTAGTAGTTTGAAAAATGTTCTTTTTGTCAAGGCATTGATCATTATCCTTTTCTCCCTATTCCCTACCTCAGATTTTAAATTACATTATCCTTTTCTCAACCAAGGGGAACAAACGTTATCCGTTTAACAAACCATCTTTTTGTTTTCCTATTTATCATCCTTTAAACGTTATTTTAAGTCTTTAGCCAATCGAGGGAGTAACGATTTCCCTTGTTAATGATATCTTACATTCTACTTTGTTTTTTTTTTTTTTTCAGTACACTTTGTCTATAAGACTTTATGTTCTCTATTTTTGACCAGGGTGAATTTAACTCCGGAAAGTCAACAGTTATCAATGCACTGCTTGGAAGGAGATATCTAAAAGATGGGGTTGTTCCTACGACTAATGAGATAACTTTCTTGAGGTTTTCCGAGTTAAGTTCTAATGAACAGCAACGATGTGAACGACATCCAGATGGTCAATATATATGCTATCTTCCCTCTCCCATCCTTAATGAAGTGAGTTTATACATAACCCCTTCTTGACTTGGGAAGGGATGTCCTCCTCCCTTCTGTTGCTCGTATATTATATCATTTTGTGATGAATGGTCTTTTTCACACGCACAAAAGAGAGGGGGAAAAAGGAACGTTTCGTTGACTTGTCTCTCTCTGCAAAACCCAATTTACAAGTTTTACAAAAGATTACTGTGGTCAGCAACAGAGTTTAGACTACTCAGAACAATGTTTTTGTAAGAAATTAACAAGAAACTTAGACTGATCTGAAGTGTTACTTTATCTCCGTTCATTGGGATGGCCACGTTTGTGTTGACTATATTTAATGTATATCTACATATCCGTGTGTGTTTGGATTGTTGTATCTTTGAATACTAACATGTGTTATTTGATGTCTAATCGTAGTTTTTCCAACTCCTTTTTAATGCAGATGAACATTGTTGATACACCTGGTACTAATGTCATTCTTGAAAGGCAACAACGCCTAACGGAGGAATTTGTGCCTCGTGCAGATTTGCTGCTTTTTGTTATCTCTGCTGATCGCCCATTGACCGAGAGTGAGGCATGAACCATTAAAGTAGTCTGTTTATCCCTGTCACTTGCTTATTAAGTCCTGCCTTGTTAACTATAAGGACCCTTTAGTTATTACCTTTCACTCATACTTAGAGAGAAAATCATGGAGCAGGCATTTTGAGGAGCCTATACTTCTATACTTTCACAAGAAAAAATCGTGGTTGGTCTTATATTGTGAACTTCTACACATTTGAATAAAATCATCCATGGTTTTTACTTTCAGGTTAATTTTCTTCGTTACACACAGCAATGGAAGAAGAAAGTGGTATTCGTGTTGAATAAATCTGATCTTTATCAGAACAGCCACGAGGTTTATTTTATAATATATTTTTTTTCTTGTGTACTTCTGTAAAGTATATAATCATTAGAGGCATTCTGAGCTTTGCTTTATCCTTGCAATTTTTGTTGCTTGGTTGCAGCTGGAGGAAGCCCTATCCTTTGTCAAGGAAAATGCAGCAAAACTGTTGAATGCTGAACACGTCTGTGTATTTCCAGTATCTGCACGATCTGCTCTGGAAGAAAAACTTTCTGCTTCTCTGGAGAGTGGCGAAGCCTTATCGCTTTCTAATTCTTATTCGAGAAGCAGTAGCTTCCACGAACTAGAAAATTTCTTGTACAGCTTCTTAGATGGATCAACAAGTAATGGAATGGAAAGAATGAAGCTTAAACTTCAAACACCTGTTTCAATCGCAGAACGGCTACTTTCTGCAGCCGAAACTCTCGTGAGACAAGACATGCGGTTAGCCAAACAGGATTTGGCGTCTTTAAATGAATTAGTTCATGGCGTAAAAAATTACGGAACAAAGATGGAAAACGAAAGTATCACTTGGAGAAGACAAGCTTTTTCACTGGTATATATATACCTACACACTCTACTTTTCAATTATTCTTTAGGTAGAAATGCAAGTGTTTTCTATCTTTATTTACCGTCCCGTGGATCTATGTAAAAATGCAGATTGATTCTACCCAATCACGTATTATGAAGCTCACAGAATCCACACTACAATTATCAAATGTTGATATTGCTGCATATTATGTCTTGAAAGGGGAAAAGTCTTCCACTGCATCAGCTACCTTGAAGATTCCAAATGACATCATTTCGCTAGCACTATCCGATGCACAAGTAACATTTTCAGCATCTTTAATTCGTCTTTGCTTTGGTAGTTGATTCGTCTTTAATTCGTCTTAGCTTCAGGGTACAGTTTGAATCTCCAATTGTTCATGTCTAAAGAGTTCTCCTAAAGCGTTGTTGATCCTTCCATTCAGTTTTCTTGTTATATCATGACCCCATAAGTTTTTTTTTGATAATTTATGTGGCTTCTAGAAACTTCTTCAAGACTATGAATCCTGGCTGCAATCAGGCAATGCTCAGGAAGGAAGAATGTACCAGGAATCCTTGGAGAAACTATGGCCATCGATCGTTTTTCCGACTACTGAGATGCCTTCTGAAACCTATGAGTTGCTGAAAAAAGTAGATGATCTAAGCCTGAAAGTAATTAAGAATTTTAGTCCGAGTGCTGCTTCCAAACTGTTTAACCAAGAAATTCGTGAAGCGGTGAGAGCTTCTTCCTAAGCCTTGCTGGTCATTTTTCGATATTAAGAACTTTTTATTTTTTATTTTTAAATGGAAAATGAATGGCTATCTGTGGATTGCTTTTTCACTACATTATAGTGAGATGAAGTTTATGATTCATCGCCGGCCTAAAGTTCCTTCTTTTTTCCACGAGTCGGGAACATTCGGTGATGTGTAGTTATAACTGAAAAGCTTTATCATCAAACCACATGGCATCTGATCTTTAATATGCTTTTTCCAACTTCAGTTTTTGGGAACTTTTGGTGGACTTGGGGCAGCTGGTTTTTCTGCTTCGCTTCTGACTTCAGTTCTTCCCACCACAACAGAAGATCTTCTTGCTCTTGTCCTTTGTTCTGCTGGCGGGTAATGTTCATCTTCCTTTAACCTTTTTACCCTATTCTTTTGTTCTTTTAGTTTTCATATTTTCTCTTTTTTGTCAAACCAGCTCGTCCCAAATTTCCTTTCCATAATACCAAATCCGTTCGACTTTAGTTCATGACCTCCAAATCAAGTAATTGATAGTGATGTTCGATTTTCTATTCAATCTAGATCTGGCCTGGTTGACCCGATCATGATATTTCACTCTAGATCTGGCCTGGGCGACCCAATCATGATATTAATGGATCGGACCTTTTCTCGAAAAACACTGGATCCTGAAAAGAGTTGAAGATGGTGCAAGATCGAATCCTCTTACCTTACTTCGAATGGAAGCTTAGCCCGCCTCACTTGCTTTCTTTACTACATAAGGGCATAAACGAAGTCAATGGATTTATACAAGAGAATTAGAATATTATCCCAAAATTCGATCCCAACCTAAGACTCATTCCTTTCTGTACCCAAAGACCAACAACTACTGTTCTATAATTTTATCATGGTCAACATCTTCAGGACTAAGCTTCTAAATGCCATATCTGGATACCTCCATGGAAGTCTCCATGGTATGGGTAGGCCCTACATTTTTGTGTGTACTCAAACTGTAACTTAGGTGCGGTAGAGCTTACCCGATATTCACTTTTAACAATTTTGATGCATCTTTTGCAACGTATTTAACTATGAGTTTGTTGTAACTTCTGAGTTCTGATGAGGTATTTTTTCTCTTCGATAGATTTTGGGCAATTTCGAACTTTCCAATTCGTAGGCAACAGTTGATTAGTAAGGTAAAAAGAACGGCAGATGGATTTTCTCGAGAGCTCGAAGCTGCTATGCAGGAGGATCTCAATGAAGCAGTTCGAAATTTGGAAGCGTTTGTGAGGACCATAAGCAAGCCGTATCGAGATCAAGCACAAAATAGGTTAGACAAACTATTGGAGATTCAAGATGAATTGTCCAATGTTGGAAAAAGATTACAAAAACTACAAAATGATATTCAAAATCTTCATGTATCATGACTAAACAAGCCATATCTAAAAGGTTTCCTCAGTCGCATATGTTAAATGTAACGACGTCACAGTATAATGTTCATATCCCTGATCCATCTTTTCTGGATTCCTTGTTGGGCAATGTCCACAGCTCAAAAAGAGCTGAACATTTCTTTAATAACTACAGACAGCAGGATTTGAGCTGTGCCTGGTACAACGGTGCCTGATATCTGGTGATAAGTCTTGTCTTGATGGAATTTTTGAAGCGTTAGTATCACAAATCATCACACAATGCAAGCAGGAACGCAATCAAATGATCTGTTATGGATTCTATACAGAACTGTCTTGTCTTTCCTGAACTTCCCCGAAGGAAAGTCTTGTAGGAAAACACGCCTACCTCATATGTTGGAATGTTATTTACTTATTTCTGTTTGGCTCAAAACTTCTGGGAGAAAAGTGGAGGGACCAACTTTTTTGGTTTGATTCCTTCACCTTTTTGGTTTGATTCCTTTAGATCCGTTGAAGATTTTATGGTAAATAAATATACAGTTAATACAAGACAAATATTCATAGGCTTGAATGCTTCTTCACCCTTCTTTATCATTTGGGTGACAAAGCTAGACAATGATGTCTGAAAGTTACCCTTCATGTGTCTGGAGGGCTTCTTATTGAGTGAGGTTGGTCAGTCTGAACGTCTATATCAGTTGGGGAGGAGAACGAAACACTCTTTATAAAAGTGTGAAAACCTCTTCTTAGCCTATATCAGTTGGGGTGGAGAATGAAACACTCTTTATAAAAGTGTGAAAACCTCTCCTTAGCAGACACATTTTAAAAACTTTAGGGGAAACCCAAAAGGGAAAGTCCAAAGAGGACAATGTCTGCTAGCGGTGGGTTTGGGCCCTTACACTGAAATAAAAGCAAGCAAGTTGGACGGTCTTGATGGTTTGGGGGCCAGATGCTCTTTGCCTTTAGGTGACTCTTTTTAGTTGATATGCAGGGTTTGCATTGGCTAACTATGAACAGGCGACAAAACATAAATGACGAATCACATGCGAGAAGAGACGGATTCGAAGTCCAATATCAGAAGATTCCATTTCCAAAACTCTTCTGTTCAGAAAGGTTAGTTTCTTTCCTCTCTTTTGGTTCTTCACGTTCCTCCCATTTTCAATAGTGACAATGCTTTGTATGTTCTTGTGAAACAGCTCAGTTTGCCTTTCTTTCTCTCCATTGTTGTACTAATGATTCATGCATGTAATATCCAAAATGGCCGCTGGCTCATTCTTAATTAGAACTTGTTTTCATGAACTTAAATCAATGAACTGTTGGCTTAGTGTTTTCTGGGAAGAAAGAATCATCTTCCATAGAATGAACTGTGGTCCTAGAACATACACTACCCATGTTATTAAACGTTGAAAAGCTGTCAGAGAGTGATATATTAGCTGTTGTTGCTTTCTTTAATAATATAGTGGTGGGGCTTAAGGAGTACAATTGAGATGAAAAGAAGAATTTGAGTACTGGCCACTTATCCTACTAGTTAATTTAAAGGTACTGTATTTCGCCGGTGGCTGCTCAACTTGCCTATTTGGTCGGTTGAAAATGTTCTGTTCATCATAGGCTGAGAGACTGAGAGAGATGGCCATTGAAAGCACAGTCCTTCGTCAGAAACTTTAATTTAGATAACTCAGTGATGAAGTTTACTTTGGACTGCGTGGGAGGATAGTGATTTCCCAGCTGGGTTTCACACTTCAAAAAATACTAAAAGGGGGAAGAAATGTCGTGCCCTCAGATTCTAAAGCCATTATGAGATCCCCATCGGTTGGAGAGGAGAACGAAGCATTCCTTACACGGGTGTGGAAATCTCTCCCTAGTAGACGCATTTTAAAACCGTGAGACTGACGCGATGCGTAATGGGCTAAAGCGGACAATATCTGCTGGCGGTGGACTTGGGCTGTTACAAATGTTATAAGAACTAGGCACCGAGCAGTGTGCTAGCGAGGATGTTGGGACTCCAAGGAGGGTGGATTATGAGATCCCACATTGGGTGGAGAGAGGAATGAAACATTCTTTACAAGGGTGTGGAAATCCCTCCCTAGTAGACACGTTTTCAAACCGTGAGACTGACAGTGATACATAACGGCCTAAAGCAGACAATATTTGCTAGCAGTGGGTTTGAGTTTTTACAAATGGTATCAGAGCTAGGCACCAGTGGTGTGCCAGCGAGGATGCTGGGCCTTCAAGAAAGGTGGATTATGAGATCCCACATCGGTTGGAGAGAGGAACGAAACATTCCTTACAAGGATGTGGATATCTCTCCCTAGTAGATGCGTTACATAACGGGGTTAAAACGGACAATATCTGCTAATGGTGGGCTTGGACGGTTACCGTCCAGCCTTTGTTTCCATAGGTTTGTTTGGTTTTCCTTTTGAAAGGAACAGCTTTTGGTTTGCATTTTGTTTTCGTTTTTGGTAACTATAAAGATCCCCTCTCCTAACAACGGGTTAACTAGGAACGATAAGGGAAAGGGCTGATTATCTTAGCTGATATATGCTGTGGCCACCAAACTTCAGTTACATTGTGGGTTTAGTTTCATAGTCACACGTTTGTCCATTATTTCTTCAAGATTGTGACTTGTACATGTTTTGTGGGCATGAAGTTGTCTCTCAGCTTTTGTAGTGTTGGCCCTACACGCCTTCTCAAACCTTAGGCTTCTTCTCAACTATAAATTTCTATCATTTCCTTGCTGTTCTTCTCCACTCCTGCATGTTCCCTTATCTCTCCCTTGCTCTCTTCCCTCTCTCTAAGCCACCCATTTCTAGTTTTCAATCCTCAGGACAATATCTGCTAGGGGTGGGCTTAACTTGACACGTCCCTGTTTTTGTGTTTGCTCGTTTTGCCTACCCATTGAGATCTTGTTTAAGGATATAGCGAAATGTTTACCAGCGTCGGTCGAGGCCTGCAGTCCTGTGTTGAGTCTCATGTTTTGAGTCTCCATTTGTTTCCTCAGAAGCCAAGCTACCCCAGCAGGAGCTCCCCGGATGAAGCAGAAGAAAATGCAAGACATGGTGGGTGGAGTTTCCTTGAAGCTCTCTCCAATGGGAATCAAGAAGACAAGGTGTACGTCCATCCTCTAGTAAAGCACTCATCCACAAAGCTGAGCAAGAAAAGCTTAGAAATGTGCACGGAAAGCTTAGGCAGCGAGAGCGGGAGCGACATGGGCGAGAAGGACGTCACATTATTAAGATTGGAAGCGGAGAATTCTCGTCCCAAGGTCGGATACTCAACATGGGTGCACGAGAAAGCGATTAGAAAGGACACTAGATATCCACCTCCATTGACATCAATAAGTGGCTCCACAGGCATCAGAATGAAGTCCTACAGAGAAGACGGGCGGCTGGTGTTGAGAGCCGAGGTAAACTCAGGTTCTGGCAGTAGCTACTTCCATGCAGAACGTAGCCATGGCAGGCTTAAACTTCATATGGTGAAACACAGTGAAAAGAGGGGCGAAGAAGATGGTGAAGCTGAAGAAATGGGAATGGAAGAATTTGGAAGGCCGCGCAGTTGCAGCAGCAGCAGCAGCTGCAGCAAACAAGGCAGTCGCCAAAGCAAAGAGGTGCTCCATTGGGAGCCACTATGGGTTTCTACTTAGTTCAAGATTTCATCCATACTCTTAATTAAGACCTCTAATTATGATTATTATGTAAATTATTACCCCATTTATGTTAGAAAAAAAAAATCCTTTCCACTTCCATTGTATCTTGAATCTTATGCCAATCGAGATGAGATTATAAGACACTCGGTAAAATATTACTACAAAACGTTCGCGTTGTTCTATAGAATGAGGTACTTATAATCATTCAATTTTGTTAAAGATATTTAGTCTTGAATTATAGTTTACCCTATATATATATATATTTCATATTTGATCTTTTATTATAGGCAAATATTTATATATTTTACCGCGTGTCATATCGGTGGTTTTAGCAAATATTTTCAGGTTAGGAAAAAAGTTCTGGTGTTAATCTCTATGGAATTTGACTCCAAAATGGCCTGATAATGAAAGTGTTTAAGTTTCATATTTTAACTCAACATATATGTCAAATTCATCGTCCCAGAACGCGACCGAAAATGTGCTGGTGTTGCAAATTCGATTCTCGACCATCAAATTGGGGCATTTCCCACAACAATGCGAAGAAATGTTTTTTTTCGGGTTAATGATGATATTTTAATAGTTCGTTATCATCGTTCGTAAAATATCATAGATCGAGATTTCGGGGTGGAATATCACAATTTCATCACCTTTGTCGGGTGAAAATCAGCCTCGAACACGTCTTTAATCATCCAAATCAATTAAATATTTAATTTAGAACTATTTACATGATTTTTAAATAATTTCAATAATAAAATGAGAGAGGAGACAGGAGAAGGACAGGGCGGTTGTTATCAAAGGACAAAGCAGCAGCAACATGGGACTGAGATCATCATGGATGGATACTCCACGTGGTTTGTTGTATGCCCTAATTCCTCACGAAACTTCCTAGATGCTTCCTCTCTAACTCCCCGATCAAAATCTTCAGTCAATTAAACTATATTCAAGTTGATGTCTCTTCAATTTAAGCTATAAAGTTGAGAGTAACATTTAATCTTTTAATTAAATATTGCTCTAATTACACGACGACGTAGATACAATAACTAATAAAAAATCTTATAGTAAACATTTTATAGTGTTTTTCATCCGTCCTGACGATGTTGTTAACAGTCTAAGACTTTTCATAATGTTTTTGCATGACTAATATTATTAATTTGAATCTAAAATATAATAGAATTTATACCCAATAGTTATCATAACACGAGCTATGTATTTATTGTACGGGTCGAAAACTACTCGAGAAATGGTTAGCAATCTGAGGATGAGTGCGGAGAGCAGAAGTAGGAAGGACCCTGTAAGCGAGCCAATCGTCGTTCCAATCCCAACGCATCAGAATCTCGTCTCCCACCATATGCCCTTGTCTTTCGTAGTCCCAACTGATATGGAACTCTTCATCTGCCACCCTCCGCATGACTGTTTTTGTGACTTTGTTTGTGCTCACATCGAACAGGTTGATCTTAATGCCTTTACTCGTGTCTGTCATGACTCGGTTCACTTTTTTTGTTGGCCAATGATCAAGCACATTTTGTTTGACATCCAGTTCCCCATTGTTTAGTTGCAGTATTTTTTCTTCTTTCTCCCGTGCGTCTAGCATCTTGCTCATCGTCCACGTCATCTTTTGTTTAGTTTCTTTTCTTTGCTTCTCAATTGCTAACCCGCTCGCCTGCCGTTATTATATACACGGGCAATATACACTAATCTATGAAAAATATATATCTAATTTTTCTGTTATATTTTCTTTCATGCTATCAGTTATTGTATACATGCAATCAAATATTTAATATCGTGACATGCATACGTTAATCTTTGGAAAATAACAATCTAATTTTCTGGTTATATTTTCTTTCAGACAGACGGTTATTGTATATATGGAATCAAATATTTAATATCGTATATTAAATCCGCTAATCTATGAAAAATATGGATCTAATTTGCTTGTTATATTTTCTTTCATACCAGCCGTTATTAAATGCACAAAATCAAATATTTAATATCATGTCGTACATACAACTATCTAATTTCCTTGTTATATTTTCTTTCTGAGCAATCATTACATACATGAAATTAAATATTTAATATTGCGTCGTATATATGTTAATTTATGAAAAAGATGAATCTAATTTTCTTTTTTTTTTTTTGTTATATGAAAAAGATGAATCTAATTTTTTTTTTTGTTATATTTTCTTTCGTACTAACAATTATTATATACGCGAAATTAAATATTTAATATCAACCTAATTTACTTATTATTTTCTCTCATCTCTTTGAGAGCTATTATTTATACATATAATTAAACATTTAATATTAATTTTTCTTTTCTTTTTACCTTTTTTTTTCCTTAGTTACTATATTTAATCTTATTGCATGCTATTTTTTCTTTATTCTTTAATTTCATTAACATTAGGTGACTTGCACTAGCGATCGTAAGTTGCAGCTAAAATTTAAGTTTCAAAGATACTCGTAAGAGAATCTGTTCGTTGGAGGGGTATTTACGTCAATTAATAAATAATTTAGTTGATTTTTTCAATAGAAATAGTAAAATTAGAGATGTCCACGAGAATAGGTGGAGTCCAAGTTAAGTACGGACTTTGTTCCCAACCTTAATTAACTAATTGAAAAACTATTTCTTCTTTTCTCATCCTCGATCTAAACAAAATTTAATAGTCTAAAGCAGACTAGCCGAGTCAAATGGACATAGGGAGCAAATTAAATTAAATTATTTATGATTATTTTTTTTAGGTGGATTAATTTTTTTTTACCAAAATTAAATTAGGGTTAAAATGAAAGTTGAAAATTTGGAAGGTAATTAAATTGGGTAATTAGTACTTTATTTTTTTTTAAAAAATACCCTTAAGTTAAAAAATATCGGTTTAAAAGAATATTTATTAAAATTTATAATCAGTATTAACACTCTTAAATTATATATTAAACCCAACAACTCGAATTATAGGGTTTCGGTTAATTTTCTGAAATTTAATATGTTTGATTCGAGTTTCGGGTTCATTAGACAAAATTTTGAGTTGACCCGAACAAAACAAAATCTTATAAAATATATTAAGATAATCTGCATATTCTTGAAGTTGCCAGAGTAGTAATTGAGCGGTCCTATAATACCTATCTGAACACGTATAAATTCGTTAAATATTCTATTATTTTATTATTTTATTTAGTTTAAAGCAAATATCATTTTCTATTTCATAAAAACTACCCCAATATTTTATACTATTTTAAACCCATTCTTTAAAATCTAAGACTTGTTTTTATACAACTATAATTATTAATTTAAATAAATTAAAAAATTATATAGTTCTAAAATTTTATTCAATTTAAAATTTTAAAAATATTCAATAATCTGACTTGTTCGTGAAATTTCAACATATATTATGCTTTAGATCTCGACAACTGAAAAACTCGTACAGTTTAACATAAATTAAACCTCTAATTGCGAGATTATAAATTATTTAAATAAAAAAAAACTAACAATTTTGAACGATTAATATAAAATATATTAGAATTTATAAATAATATCACTACACGATAATTTAAAATATTATAATGTAAGGCATAATAAAAGTTATGTATTTATTGAACCGGACGAAAACTACTCGAGAAATGGTTAGCAATCTGAGGATGAGTGCGGTGAGGAGAAGTAGGAAGGACCCGGTAAGCGAGCCAATCATCGTTCCAATCCCAACGCATTAGAATCTCGTCTCCCACCATATGCCCTTGTCTTTCGAAGTCCCAACTGATATGGAACTCTTCATCTGCCACCCTCTTCATGACTGTTTTCGTGATTTTGTTGGTGCTCACATCGAACAGGTTGATCTTAATGCCTTTACTCGTGTCTGTCATGACTCGATTCACTTTTTTTGTTGGCCAATGATCAAGCAAATTCTGCTTGACATCCAGTTCCTCATTGTTTAGTTGCAGTATTTTTTCTTCCTTCTCCCGTGCGTCTAGCATCTTACTCATCGTCCACGTCATCTTTCGTTTCGTTTCGTTTTGTTTCGTTTCTTTGCTTCTCAATTGCTAACCCGCTCACATGCCGCTATTATATACACGAGCGGTACACACTAATCTATAGGAATTATCGATCTAATTTTTTCATTATATTTTCTTTCATACGATCAATTATTGTGTACATGCAATCAAATATTTAATATCGTGTCATGCATACGTTAATCTTTAGAAACTATCAGTATAATTAAATTGTTATATTTTCTCTCATACGAGCAGATATTGTATATATTGAATCTAATATTTAATTTAATGTCATACATATGCTGATTTATGGAAAATATAGATCTAATTTCTTGTTATATTCTCTTTCATACGAGAGATTATTATATACACAAAATTAAATATTTAATATCACGTCTTATATACTCCAATCTATGGACATTAAGAGAGGACGATAAGTACTACTTACCATATTTAATTTCATCGCATGTTATTTTGTGTGTTTTATTTATTTATTTATTCTTTAATTCCATTAATATTATTAATAAATGTGACTTGGAATGGTACTCGTAAGAGAAAATCTTTTTTGTTGACGGGTGTATTTACGTCAATTAATAAATAACTTGATTGATTTTTTAAATGGAAATAGTAAAATTAGAGATGTCTTGGACGAGTGGGGTCGAAGTTGGGACCGGCATTGTTCTCAGCTCTATTTACCTAATTGGGAAACTATATTCTTACTTCTTTTTCCACTCTCGATTTAAACGAAATTTATTGGCCTGAAGCATGACTCATCGAGTAACATACCAAACTAAAATACTCTTGTAATTTTTAAAAAATGTTTAAAAATATCGTAAAAAATATCTTATGAATGGTATTATGTTTGAAAAATATTTATTAAAATTTAAAACCAGTATTAACACCCTTAACAAAAGGTATATTGAACTCGACAACCCGAACCGACTCAACTCAAATAGGATTTAGGTTAATTTTCTGAAATTGAATAGGTTTGGTTCGAGTTGACCCAAACAAAACAAAATCTTATAAAATATAATAAGATAATTTGCCTAAGAGTTGCCAGAGTGGTAATTGTGTGATTCCATATTGCCTCCGTATACACTATGAATTCCGTTAAATATACTATTATTTTATTATTTTGTTTAGTTTAAAGCAAATATCATTTTTTGTTT